CTTCATTCTGTTTATGATTGTTTATTTCAGAAGTAGCGGCAAAGAAAATAATGACAAACATATTCTGATGGTAAATTCAAATATTCTACATTTACAAAAGTAAAATATCAATAAACTAAATTCACAGGGCAAACATAACCACTCTTCGAAAATTTGACAAAGTTTGTAAAATGATCAAGGCATTTAGGAAGAACAGATAATCACCAAACAACTGCATACTAAAATTTTTTTTTTTTCATTTTTTGTTCTTCAATGCTGTCCCAGAAACTATATAAGATCATAATCCATCTGAATTAGCAAAATCTTTCTAAATCCTAAATATTAATTTTCTAATCCTATTCTTCAAAAAACTATCAAAGTTAACAACATGCCGCGATATATGTTCAAAAATAAATCGGCATAAAATGAAAATCGTCTGGTTTAAAGATGTATCATTCAATTCATTTACGAACTCTGTAATTCATCCACCCGTACTAAGTAATGAAAAAACCAGTTTCATTCTATATATTGAAATGAAACACTGGATTCAACATATAAAACCGAAATTGCCAATTTCCAACACTTGATTTGTCATTTTCCTTTCTTGAATAACCACCAAATTTAAGAAGCCAATAGGAAAAATAGACCAGAATCTGATCTCATTGAGTACCTGTTTATGGCGGAACTAAGACCTCCGAGACTGAGGCGAAGAATGACAGAGAGAGCACGGAGAGAATGGGGTGGGAACTGTCCAAGTTTTGAATCGTAGGTTCTGACTAATAATTTTAGGGCTGGTTTGGTTAACCTTAAAATTTATAAACATTGCCTATAATTAATCTTAGGACATAAACGTGGATTCTAAAAAAATGTGTATTGTTTGGTGTTCAAGAAAATCCAAATGGCACATTAACGGTACCCAACTTGGAACTTAACATATGCCATGTCAAATTATATATTCATTTTTCTAATCGAGTGATCAACGTTGTGAACTTCAATCACTAACTTGAAATTTTACTCAAAACTTTAGTTCCAATTGGTGAAATTAACTTTAACTTCATTTCAATTTTCCAGTATTTTCAAATTTAAAGTTTACAATTTTATAACAAGTTTGTCCATTTTTAAGATTAGCCAAACTCGTTCATTATCAACTGATAATTGTATTCACACTTTAGTTCACAATTTTCATGCCTGCAGGCTGCAGCCTCAGGATATTCATTTGATTAAAGATTCAAACATCTATGCAACAAAACAAAGGATGCTGACATTCAACAACTAATTAAGCTCACAGAAAACTTTTCGGAGTTCATTTGAGAAATGCTTATAAGAAGAAATAGGCTATGGAAGCTTTTCCAGAGAGCAGGATAGTGGCAATATACCAGCGAACCATGTTTGGCAAGGTGGACTAGACAGCATTATAAAAGAAAAAAGAAGTTAAAATAGACAGCTATTTGCATCAGGATGCCACACACACCTTGAGAATCCCCGGCCATAACTTATTAGAAGACTGTGTGAGAGAGAATACAGATGACAGTGATAGCATTCTCTTGTTCCAAGATGACCAGATAGGTGATAATTCTACCTTTCAAGAATATCATAATATCTGTAACAGAGAACCATGATACCATAAGTAAAGTTCTCTTACCACATCAGCAATGAAAAGTTTTTATTTTTGTCCACTGGTAGGAAATCATTTTCAATATCTGTAAATACCAATTATGTGGGGGGAAATTTTAAGCAGTGAAGTGTACAAGAGTGCTTTCCATTGTGTTATGGCTATGAAGGATGTAACAAACTCTCGATTACCATGTTT